CTTTCTACGCGTAATTCTTCGCAGTACAGTTACTTTCGTTGAGGTATCAACCGCGCGTATTACACGCAGTTACTTTCGCGGAAATGTCAAACGTGTATCGCACATTGATTGACTCGCATACTTGGGACTATAACACTTTCGCCAAGCCTAGCATCGACGTTATCGATTCAGCCATAACTTCCGCCGCTGGCCACGCGATACAGGTACTCCCGAGGATCGTTCCATCGCCGGAAGAAACGTTCCAACGAATTCCGCGAGATTAATGACGAATCCTATTCTACGGGAGCCACCAGAAACAGGAGTGATGGATCCCGACCGAAGATCAAGATAGACGCTCCTTTAAACCATTCTCCGTCGAGACTCCACTTTCTCACCGCGACGATTACCTCAGCTCTTCCAGGGACCTTTGAATGTCAATAACAGAGACAAGGAACGAGATAAACCTGTGAAAGCTATACGATCGGGGAAAGATAGAGATTTAATCGCGTGCAAACGCGGTACAGTATCGATACACACGTATATCTATATATATATTATCTTTTTTCTTTCAATCTCGTTGAATATTTCATAGGGAGGAAGCATCCAAAACTCTTTTGATATTGAACCTTCCCGCGAACGTTCTTCGTTCCCTTTATTCTTTTTTCTCTCGTGGAAAACACACGAGAACGAATTGAATCGAGAGCCTCTAGCAGTGTAGAGAAAAGACTTGGAACCGCGAAATCGAGTGGCATCTGTATGCATTATGGAATGCGAGTACAAGAGGTAATAGCCAACGACAAAGGTGCTCGCATTGATATTCTACGTAGATTTATTCCTGCTCGCTGGTAACGTAATTAACATTAACAACGAACTCCGCTGCTTCTTCTTTCTTTTTTCGTCAATATTGCTGGTCCTAGAGGAGAAAATTAATATGCAAGCCCTGATTGTGGATTTAGATTCTACTCTTGGTTATTCTTCTTCTTTTCGTCAATCTCACTATCCTTAGAGGGAGAAAATTAATATACAATACCTGATCGTGGCTTTAGAGAACGTGGAAATGATACTTCGTTAAACCATCTAAATAATGAATTTCGATTTCGATTCGTTAATGACTTAATTAACATTAACAACGCACTCGACCGCTTATTCTTCTAGTTTTCGTCAATCCCATTAGCCTTAGGGAAGAAAATGAATATACAACCACTGATCGAATTAGAAATTATAGCTCGTGGCGTTACAGAAAATGCGAATGGTTCCTCGTTAACCCATCTAAGTGATGAATTTCGATTTCTACTCGACTATTTGTTCTTCTTCTCTTCTTCGTCGATCTAATTGACCTTAGGGGGAGAAAATTAATACGCAATAGCTAATCGAATTAGAAGCTATAGCTCGCGGCGTTAGGACAAATGGGAATGGTTCCTCGTTAAACCACCCAACTTTCGTGCGTGTTTGGTGGTCGGTTCGAGCAGGAAAATACGATATATGCGAGAATGGAAACCTGTCGATACATATTTTAATGCTGACCTATAGGACTGGCTGTAATCATTGCTTCTATTATCATGGAGTACGTACGAGTCACCGCGTACCGTTGACCTTTCGCAGATCGATTTCTCGCAAATGGAACGGAATTCTTTGCCGAAGACGTTTGTTACGAGGCATTCTTTTTTAATGTGTAACGACCGCCGGGTTACGTTCGAGGAAGAATAACGAATTCACCGATTAAAATTATGCAACGACGCTATTCCCATTGGGAAATCTCGAAATTAACTCGGACTCTGCAATGGAAATTGTTGAAACTTTGTAGAAAGTGATTAGACATGGATACATGGTAAGATATCGGTGAATTTTCGCTGAACTCTTTATCAAGTCATTCATAAGCTTCAAACTAACAGTTTTCTCTTACAGTTCGAGCTGAAAAATTTTGTACAATTAAAGAAATTTATTTCACACATAAAAACCTGTGGAGTAATTCATAACACAAAAAAAACAATGAAACTGCAGTTACTTCGAATGTACTTTGATATCAAAACCAAATAAATTCCAAGGAAATATGAGTTGTATATAAACAAATTCTCTACACTTTAAGCTGCAAAACTGTAACAATTGAAAAATTTATTTAATACATAAAACCTGCACAGCAACGTAACACATAAAAATAATAAAAACAAGGAGAAAGGCAGTTACTTCAAATATGATATTTTGATATCAGAGCCGAATAAATTCCAAATAAATATGATTTATATATCGACAAACTTTTCACAGTTTAAGCTGCATAATTTTTAACAATCAAGACACACGTTTGATATATAAAATCTGGGAGATTATCTGTCGCATAGAAACAACGAAACAGCGGTTACTTAAAATACCTCGATATCAAATCCCCAACATATTATCAAGCAGGAAATTAGTTGATTAAACGAAGCGACGTATAAAACGATAAGACGATTAAATGAAAATAAAATCACCGAGGTTCAATATACCGATCAAGGTGCGCCGACGCACACCGTGTGAAAATATGATTGGCATACATGCATATGTAACACATTACGCCTACCGTTACATCATCTGTGGCATGTGTTCTCAGCAGCATGAAGTGCTAGCAACCGTGGAACGAAGGTCACGAAGTAGTTGACGTGACAATGACCTTTCTTCCCTGCCATGGTCAACTTTTACTTTTTTCTTTTTTTTTCGTTCCATCGAAATTTTTACCAAATAGTCGCGATAACGATAACACGCACGTGAAAAGATATTAAAATGCGACTGATAAGAAGAACAGAGGGAGGAAGAAGAAAAAAGATTGTAAAAGTATTTCAGACAACACGTCTAAACACGACGATAGAAGAAAAAACGAGAAAAACTGTGCAACAGTTTTTAACGACTCGTTTAAAGAAATTGAAATTAGACGCGTATAAGACCGAGGAATGTTACAGGCGCACCACGAAGATATTTTTATTCATAAATGCGCGTACTTCATTTCCAATACTGTTTGAAGACAGTTTAACGACCATCACACGTTCCGATTCATTATTTATGCAATCGAATTGTAAATATGATTCATGGGAACGTTGTTTATTGTTTATGTATTACATATTACTGCTCGTAACCGTTGGTACAATGTGCGTATAGCTACTACACGCGTAGATATCCATTCTGAAAACATTTCTCCGGTTATGAATTGGATATGTGTGCACTTTGTCAAAAATGAACTTCGTGTAGAACTGTTTGTTCAACGAGAAGCACGTGTATGTGTTTTGTTTAGAGGGAGAAATACTTTCAGTTGATATATAAGTATATATAAAAAAAAAAAAACAAAAACAAAGTTGTATTTTGTAACCTTAAAGGAACGAATATCTTCTAATATTCGTCGATACGTAGGAATGTCGATGTATTTGCTCGTACCTTCGAAATCCTTGCCGGATACATTCGGTTAAATAACAATAATAAGGTTAAATGAATGACCAGGGATTACTTTCGAGACGAAAACGTTTTGATTCGAAGGGAACGTTTTTATACGAGCATAGGAGCCGTCGGATGAATACTCCCAAGTCGACACAACGTCGTATACGTGTACAGTGCTGCTATTATCTGGATTGTTTCTCTGAATATCTCATAGGTCACGGTAGAAAGACGAAACTGCCCTTCGTGATAATCGCGAACGGCGAGCATCGCGACAACGCCTCGTCGTCCCGTGTTGATAACGCGATGGAAATTATCGACCCCGGTTCACCGACGGGGGTTTGTTTTGAACGTGCATCCTCGCGCACAGCCGTCGCCAATAACGACGATAGAACAGGGCAAGCCTGTTCCCAACGACGGTGGCGACGGCGTCGTCAACGCGATTCCGATTCGTATTAAAAACGTAGAGAGTAAAGGTACTACTACACCGTATGAGATAACAGGTTGCTGCCGAAACACAGGCCACGTATCAGGCTAACGTGCGTTTCATATTATACACGACACGATCACGGACACGAGACAATCTCCTTCGAGAGCGCGCGCATCGACCATTGTTTCGACGCGGTGGCGGTGATATGGGTAAAAGCGACCGGATAAATGGCGACTTTCCCCCCTCCGCTGTCGCGGCCGCCTCACGGGTTGTAAATCTCACGCGACACGCCGAAACGCACGCGTTCCTCGTACACGTATACACGATTAGTTCCGGGGGAAACGAGAAAAAACCGTCTGGCACGAAGTGAACGACGTATCACGACGACGAAAAAAAAACGTACGCCGACCGTATCATAATGTGTAAACTAACTCACCCTGTGACCAGATTCCTCGAGTCGCTGCCTCTTGGAGTGTGGTCCGTCTCCGTTGAACGCCATCCTGGGGCTCGGCACCGGGCAATTACTTTTAAAGCGGGGCACTCGGTGCTACAACGACACGTCCGTGTGTATACCGCGCGGCTCTCTACCGTGTCGACGATCTCGTGCGCGGGCGGGGGAGGGGGGAGGAAGGAGAAAATAATCGGTAGGACACGACGCGAACGCGACGAGAACAGACAAACGCGCGAGAGCGGCTTAAGGGAAACTGGATCTCGATGTTGCTGGAGAGGAACGTCTCTGCCCCTAGCGAAGTAGCCGGCCACCGCAGCGCTATCTACCGACGCCGCGATTCGAATACTCACGAATCTTTAAGGCGGAACCGCGCGCACGCGCCTCGGTCGCCTGCCCCACTCCCGGATTGGCTCGTGCCTCGTTCCTCGGTATATGTATTCGAACGGTGAAATTACCATTAAATAATGAGTCAAACGAACGATTATAAAAGCGTATTAAAGCCTTTTTTGCGCGATTTTCGGGGATCGTTGCGATCGTATGCAAGAAAGGAAATTGAAATACGTTATTCATCGACAACTGCGATGAAACGGTGCTGTCCAATCAAAGGCACATCGTAATCTGAACCGGTTTTGATTCGTGGACGCGGGAAGTGCAATTGCGAAGAACATGTATACGAGGGATTGGATTAGGAAAAGTTCAAGGTAGGTGGGATTTATCGGAAAATAATTGAAAACTGTGAACGGGTTAGTTATTTTTCCTAGACATTAACACTAAATTTCTTGGTGACATTCTACTATCAAACACTGGCTTTAGTGTTGGTGCCAAATTTTTCTCGGACAGAAATAGAAATCTATCGTATAAGACAATAGTTTCCACCAATGGCGCCAACATCATTCGAAGTGATCCAAACACTATTACTTGTTTCCATCGATTTAAAAATTCGAGAATCCTTTCGTTGTTAATATCGGAATCTTGTAGCTGTAAATAAGTTTCGAAATGAGCTGTAGCTGCGTTACAATACCTGAAACATTAAAAGATATTTACATGAATTTTTCTATTTGTTGTTATCGAGAATGAAATTTTTCGTAGTGCAGTATCAAACACTTAACTGTTTAAATGTCATTCCTTTTGTTACTTTAACACTTCTCAATTGTCTATTACGTAATTTCTCACTTTTTTTTACTAAAATAGTTTTTAATATTCCCCTATAAGTATGCACCTGAAAGAAGTAATTCAGTTAATACATGTTCAAACATATTTGTATTCGTTAATTCACTTAACTATTAAATCTTCATAATCCCCAGTCTTTAATTTGTCACAGTATTTTTCAATAGCATGACAAGCTATTTCCAAGGATGTATAACTTAAAGAATGATTTTTACGTAACATCAGGTACTTGCTAAGTGGATAACCTATTAATCCACTTACTTCTGATCTAAAGGATTAATCGTACAATATTTATTGTTATAATAACATCAATAGAGGTGTATTCTTTAAGAAAGTATACAAACTGTAATGTTAATTTCATATAACAACATCCTACAATACAGATAAATTTCGCTTCACTTCTAGATGAGTAAAGTTTTAATAATATTTGAGCTAAATCCCCACAGGGGTGAAGTCCTATAAGACCAAATTTAGTTTCTGTCCCACTCAAATCAAACTCGTTCTGAAATAATTCTTCTAATTGACTAGCTAATTCTGATTCAACTAAATTTGAGGATTCTAATTTAGCTGTAAAATGTTGAGGACACTTTTGGTGAAAGTTAGGTATATGCTTTCTTATGGACATCAACAACTCTTTATCCCATTTCCTGCAATAAAATCACTTGCATTATTAGCATCAACTGTAATACTATCATATTGCAGCAACTTGTGTACCTAGCCTTTTCTAACAATATACAATCTTGTTCGATACAAGTAACATACAACTGATACTGAAAAGCTAAGATACGTGCTAAATGACCCATTCCAGAGCCAATATCAACGATACATTTACAATTAGCTTCATAGGCACAGTCTGCACACACCTAGAAATATTTACAATGTACAAGGTACATAGTATCTATATAGACAAAAAGCAATGAAATTACTTGAGCAATTTCTTGTATTTCATATCTCTTTTTCTTTTTTATATGCTTTGAAAACAAATTGTTAAATTTATGATCCTGAAAATACAACTCATCAAATACATCATTTTTATTCTTTTTGAAGGTTTCATTGTTATTACTATTGCTTGTCTTTGTTTTATTATATTCGCAAGCTACAGTACTGTTTGGATCTTCGTGATCTCTATTGACTTGTAAAATATTTGCGACTTGACGAAGTGCAAGCAAAGTCAAAGGCCATACGCGTACGCTGCAACACGATCAAAACAAAATTGTAGGACAATGTGCAAAACATTAGGTTCGAACAGTGTAGTATCACCACCTACCACGAGATGTCTCCCGACAACCATTTACCAAATTCTTCGGGAGTTGTATCTTGTAATGCAAACCTCCAACTTTTCGGCAATTTGTCCCATAAGTTTTCTTGAAAAAAATCCTGCGTAGAAAAAGAAAAAACAGCCTGTACGGTTCATGAAATCCACCACCTTACAAAGGTAACCACACAGATTACAATCTTTAGCTTGTACACACGAACAGCTGTATCGAATGAATCGGAACAAAATGCAGCACAGTAGTCCAACACAATAGGAAGTTGGCAAATTTAATTTCTATGCTACATACCACTACGTAAGAGTTCAACAGCCAGCCGTATACATCTAGAACACAAAATATTTGGTCAATCGTGACTCGAATTCTGGTACAGACTTTACATGTACACCGAATGTCTCTAGCTGCGGCCATCGTTGCAGTGAAATGGCCGCGGGAATTTAACTGTTCTCTCCACGTGGCTCGACAATTCCGTCAAAAAATTATCATTCCTAGAACGTATTCATCGATATCAAACAAATTTCCTCTACAAACACTTTATTCTCGATCGATAATATTCGTCGTACATTAACGCGAGACGTAAAAATGTGTTCATTTACCAATTATTAAAAACGTTTGTTTTGTAATATTCACCAGCGTTATCTCGCGCTGCGCAACATTTCCAAATCGACTCTTTACGACGGAAGTAGAAAGTGCATAACGTCGGCTAAAGATACTTTTTGTTTAACACCACGTATATACTATCTAATTATATAACACGGTTATGAGCATATGTACCGATAGCCGCGAATGATACAGCCGGTATAACAAAGTTCGTTGAAAGGAAAGTGACACCGGTAAAGAAAGAGAAAAAAAAAAAAGAAGAAGGAAAAACGTTAAACTGCTAGACGGCAAAAATGACGAAGTAATCGACTTAGGTTTTTACATCGAGCCGCGATACACCGTGGGTAAACGAGCGATAGGAAACGATCGGTCAGATCGAAAGCAATTTTCTCACAAAAGCCGCGTGAAATTTAAATATCTCAGCCAAGGTCTTACGAAACGGCGAACCTCTTCCGCCGCTTACAATACAAAATACAGGGAAAAATGACTGCCGTTTGTTTGCTTTATTTATTAATTAAAAAGGATAGGATACTATTCTCGCCATGTCCCACTTTACGCCACTTTCACTCTTCAACAGTTACGTTATTGCTCATGAGCGCACTGCTCTCCGGGTGTACCTATATACCTACAAACTGTGCAGCGGCTGTAGAAGGAGAACCGTATCATCTGCCACTCTATATCTCTGGACTTTCATGAGAACTGGGCGAGTAAGATTCGTGCAATCCTCTCTTAAATACTGTTTCACAAACTGCTGTTGCAATTATTGCTAAACGCTATAATAAAACTGTCCTTTTACACCTAGTTTATTTATCCATTCTCGCCCGTTCTTTCCTTCGTTTCGAGAACAGGTGTAATTAACTTCTCCGAGCGATCTTACACAAATTTTCTTATAATTGCTGATTTTCACCGAACGATCACTGTATACATTTTTTTTTCTTTTTCTCGCTCTGTCGAATATTCGCACAATTCGAAACCGCTGATCGATACGATTCCTTTGTCCATCCATCCCAGTGCTCGAATCCTTCTGGCCGTTATTTGGACCTCTTACGCCAACGTAAGTGAAAGTTTCCAAGTAGGACGAGCGGAGAGACGTCGAATCTCCTCGACGACGGTGCGTGGATACTCGCTAAATGCTCATCCCCGGTTCTGGTCACTGTGCACACACCGTGGTCCATCGAAAACGTTAAATGTCAACGAACCTGTTGTCTAATTTCAAAATCGCCACGGCGGACTTTCGAACGTGGAAGAGAAAACGATTTCTTTCCGGTAACAACTTATTTGGTCCGTTACAGCCTCTACAGTAATAGGGAGAATCAGGAAGGCTGTAAGTAATCGTTTTAAAAGCGGATCTACCTTACCTGCGTGATAGATCAATCCGGTATGTTGCACGTTGCGCAACACGTATGAGAAGTTTTACATCATCAAAGCTTTTGCAACTAAGGGTTTTACCAGGTCATCCTCATTTAACAGGTATTCTAGATTTGCTGCCTTTCACAGCCGCTGAACGCGATTTATGGAAAAGAGTGCACGCGATCGTTTCACGTGGGATAAACTCGTTGGAAAAAATCTCTGAGTTAGCTTCTACTACCTGCATGGGTATATATAAAGGATACGTAATCGTAAAGATATTGAAACTGGGCCTGTTCGAATGGCTACGTAATGGAGATACGGATATTTTTCTTCCTTTTGCAAAACTTGTAAATTGGTTGGTTCTAATTAATAAAAACACCGTGGCAATACCTGGTGTATACGTAAGAACGATAAGAAAGGAAAATGGAATACTGGTATAACGGAGAATCTGGAAGGACGTAGGGTATCGGTAGACAAACGCAACGATCTCTAGAAGAGTAAAAGTGACGGCAGGAATTCGCTTATCGTCATGAAAGAAAGGTCGTTAGACACACGCAGGAAATGATTTGTTCGTAAGAAATCATTCGCTTGGAACCGCTTCGAGCCTTTAGCGAAAGTAATGTGATAAGTGTATATACAATATATACAGCAGCGTGAGCTAGTACGAGACACTAAGATTCGAGTCAAGTAAGTCTCTTTCACCGAATAATTTCGGTGTGTGTGGTGTACGATGCGAATGGTGAGAAGCACGGCCTTCTCCTAGAGGAAAGGTAAGTTTCGGTTTCGATAGGCCTTGGAGGTCGACGGAAAAGTGATGCTCGTTTAATATAATCATCTTCCTTTCCTTTCGATCGAGAGACGGATTTAAAGAAAGTCGACAACGGGCTTCGCCCGCTTCCCCTTCCCTATTCCCCTGTCTCTTCGTGCCGCGCGAACCTTCTTCTTCTTCTTCTTATTTTCTTTTTTTCTCGTCTCGAACCACGTTTGTATGTCCTGCACGCGACGCTTGAAACCCGCTGCCTTACACTAACTACACACAAAGTGTACGTAGGAAGGCAGAGCCAGAGAAAGGTGCCCCACCGTATACGATATTAGAGAGGAGCTTCTTGAAGAGTACGCCGCGATGGTGGCGGTGGTGGTGGTGGTGGCATCAGGTAGGGAGAAACGGGCCTCTGGGCCCAATCTGTCCTCAGTTCCCGTACGAAGCTCCATTCAATATCGTTCAGTACATACCCGATCCTACGGATATCATGTTGCTTATCGCGAGTTAGCCGCTCTTGATCGAAGTTTAGACGACACGTGAAGTCGGTGAAGTGTGACTCCGACGACTCGTTTGGAGAGAAAAGGGAGGCAAACGTTAGAAACGATTCGGGGACATACATCATGCGTCCCCTCCAACTGGTAATTACAATAATAAGATCCGTGTCGAATTTTTGTCGGTGAAACTTTCATCCCGAGAAGAAGCGATCGCGTTAATAGAGTAAATATGTTGTTTAAGAGAACGCACGCACGCACCCACTTGTGCACTTACTTTCATCGTAATAAGCATGTCTCGTTTCATAGTTACGGGAAACGTTCAACGCGGTTCTATCATTTGTAATCAGCCAGCGTATCGCCTTTGGCTACTTAGCGAGGGAAAGTATATCGGATTAGCGACGAGTTCGTACACGTATGTTTAGTTAATCGTTCGTAACGCACAAGCTTGTCGTTTTCCTTATGTATAATTCAACGAATATGAAACTGTGCGAAAGAAAGGAAGAAAAAATTCTAATGAGATCTAACGAGGGATAGACGTCTAATTCTCGATCGACGCGCGGCATAGAAACTACTCGACGGCGGTGAATAAATTTCATTTCGTTCGCGTACATCGGGTACGAGTTTTCTTTTTGTTCGAAGAATATTAAAGAAGTGTCCCCCTACTGTAGGAGAGTCACCGAATTCTCGAGGTGAAACGCGCACCTCGTTGAATCTAAAACCTAAATTTTCTCTCCTTCTTTCACCATGGCCATGTGAAGCTACCGACAAGAATTTCTGTTCTATTCGCGCAATTTAAACCCGAGAAACATCCTATATCCGATACGTGCTGTAACTCGGCCTCACCATATCGGGAACACGATCGCGGCTGGGAATCGCTTATCAGGGTACCAGTAACTGTCCATTCGGCGACTCTAGAATACCAATCGATTGGCCTCTTAAGGTCTTACAGGATGTTTCTTCTCGTTTATTAATCGGGTCACTCGGTTACCCACGCGCAAACCAATGTTTCCACAAATACGTTTCACACGTACATACTAACCGTGGAATTCGTGTCTGATTTCGTGGTTCCGATAGAGATTCACAATTTCAGATTGTCGTAGTGGTAGCGATCCTCGTCGTAGCGACCTTTGCCAAAGATGAGTCCTCGAAAGGCCGCGATAAGAGACAACAGGTTGCGTTCTATCCAAGGAGAGGAGCCAGACCGCCACCCTATGCGGTCCAAATGGAGCCAATCGTTCAATATTCCCAGAGAGATCCACTCTACAATCCTCTCGCGAGTTCCAAGAGCGACGATCTCTACGAGGAGGGTCCGTTGAATTATTATCCGACGGAACCGGAGCCTATAATCGAGATTATCATCAAAGAATCGAACGAAACGCTACCGACACCGGTACCACCGCCACCTCCACCACCACCAAGACCAACGAAAGAACCTATACAAGTGTTCTACGTGAAGTACGAGAAGAAGAAAGGTTACGGGGATAAGTCTCGCGTCGTCTACGATCCACCGGTGCCAGCGCTCACACCTGTCGAGGAGCATGAAGAGATCAAGCCGGATAACCCGGCGCCTTATCCGGAAGAACCTGTTCATACAGCAACACCGGCACCGCCAGAACCTTCTACGACTCTCAGAGCGATCATACGACCGGACAGTGAAGTGTACCACTCCGGGTCTAGCGGTATTCGCGTCACCTTTGGCACCGACCAAGTGCCCCCTAACAACCACCATAAGCGCAGCGATCTGGAAGCGCCTCCCACTCAACAACAAGCCAAGCCAACTGCCACTTCTCCGGGATCACCTAAAAGGCAACACGGCCCGTATCAGCCGATTCAACCGGTGCATTCGAGAGTGCCACCAGCTTTTCCACAGCAGAGAATCGCGAACTCCTTCCCGCAGCAACAGGCGCTCCATCAGCCGCCACCTCAGCAGCAACAACCACCGTTGAATTTCTTGCAACCACAGCCGCCATTTTCGCAACCACCGCAGCCAAGGCCACCGTTGCAAAGGCTGCCGCAACGTTTGCCCATAACGATTCAAGGTTTGCCGGATGTGCAGCAACGATCGCCGTTCAACAACTTCGGTCCTTCTCATCGTGTGAACATCAACCATCCTCAGCAACCAGGATTCCCTCCCGCGTTGTCGGTTTCCCATCAGAATGTACAAATACAGAATCAACCTATACCGTTGAATCAAGGCAGTCCTTTCAGCGTAGAGCCACAACAGAGATATCACGAGCAACGTCGTCAACAGGAGTTGTTGAAACATCGTGAACATCAGAGACAGCATGAGCAACAGAGACTGCAGGAGCATCAGAGATTTTTGGAGCAACAGAGACAGGTGGAGCAACAGAGATTGTTGGAACAACAGAGACAACAGGAGCAGCAGAGACAACAGGATCATCAGAGATTGCAAGAGCAACAGAGGATACAGGAGCAGCAACAAAGAATTCAAGAGCAACAGAGGCAGCAAGAACAGCAGAGATTGCAGGACCAGCAGAGATTGCAGGATCAGCAAAGATTGCAGGAACAACGCAGAAGAAAGCAGGAACAAGAGCAGAAACTGTTGCAGGAACAACAGTATCGTTCACAGTTGAAGTACAATCAGGCGCAATCGGTGCCAAACATACCTCAAGTACCGCTTCCACAAATCCAGAAGCCCGGAGGAGAAATTTTCAAAGCTGTCCCGAAACTCGAGCAACACTATGCAATTCGCGAAAATCCACTTCATCCCGGCCCCTTCCCGCCTAATCCTATTATCCAACCAACTGGATTCCCAGAAACTTCGCAGAATCAATACGTTTCCAGTCAACCGAGTTCGCCGCCAGAGATTCTAAGGAGTCCACCGAGTGATTTTATAAACGATCAACAGCAGCATCTGAACACGAAGCAGCAAATCGTCCAAAATCAACAACAAGGATTCTTCTCGCAGAATCTTCAACAACAACAACCACGGTTCCCAGTATCGCCTCAAAGATCCTCGATCTGGGGACGTCCGTCGTTCTCCGGAAACGGCGGAAATCCTTCTCAGAAGATATACGCTACACCGGTAAGTCCTCAGGAAGATTTCAATGCCATCTCGACGATCAGACCGACGTTTATCTCGAGTACAACTACCACGACGACGACGACAACCACTGAAGCACCAACGACGACGACGACGACGACTGAGTCTCCAAAGAACGAGGCGAAAATTCGAGAGAACATCGCTAATCTACCGGATGAAGTGCCGGATGATATCAGGGAGCAACTGCTCAGTTCAGGCATTTTGGGTAACGCCGACATACAGATACTGGATTACGACAAGGTCGGCGACATACCGATAGAGAAACTACCGCCCGAGGCTTTGGCGAATTTCTACGGCGCCGGAGGCGGTGCCGCGGTGGCTGCCAGCGAACCGGTCCCGTCGATCGTCAAGAAGCCGAAAACGGCAGAGGAGAGCAGCTCGTCTTCCTCGATCTCTTCTTCTTCTTCTCTTTCCACTTCTTCAGCAGTTTCGGCGAAGAAGCAACAGCAGCAGCCGTCTACTACTACCGGTAGCTCGACTAAGTTCGAGCAAGCCACCTTACGGCCAGGTGGAGTGGAGATGAAAGTAGTACGCTTCGATCCGAATACGGAGCAAGGCCAGGCGCTCGCGGATCAGCACATACGCGATGATGCTACCAGGTTGAATCCCGTAACCGTGGGAGACCGAGACGAGTCTCAATACAATCGTTATTTACCGCTCAAAGTGAGTGGTGTTTCCTTCCCTATTCCGGACGTGCCACAGCTTAACGGTAGGAAGATCTCGAGCGTGGTCGTATTGGCGCCTGTTGACTATAACTTTCAAGAGGAGAAGGAAATCGAGTCGAGGCAGGGCAGGAGGGTTACCGATGTGCAGGCGGTCAAGTTTCTCGCTGGCGACACTCTCAAGCAACTGGTGAAAAAGCCAACCGCGGAGAATTACAAGAAGTGGTTAGAACAGGAGAGTCGTACTGAGCCGCAAAAACAGTCAGTAGTACTGTTGGTAACCATGTAAGTGGTGTTGTGTTGGTATCGGTACTATATACGTTCGATAACTTATAAAACGACGCCCTACCTATCCGGTTGCTGTACCTTCGTTAACCAATCCATCCACTCGCTTTAAACGGCAATTATTCTTTAACGAGCTGTATTTCTCTTCCATCGTGATCTTCCTTGAACGCGTTCCCCTTTGATCCGCTTCCGCAAACGTCTATCTTCGTCGATGATGATGATCGTAATCCAACGGTCTTCACTTTCCTTCGGCTTTCGAATAATCAATCATTGACGATGTTTTGCAGGCCAAAAGACGCGGACCAAGGCGAGAAAGAGATCTTCATGTACGACGTGGTCTCGCAGACAGTGAGCAAACTGGCTGGAGATTTGTCTACAGCTTTCGTAGACGCTGCTGAAAGTAACTCTGATAATAACGACTCATTGAACGACTCGAATCTCCCATCGTTATAAGTGCTGCCCGATTGAATACTATGGTGCAACATAGTAGGAATCTACTTTGATATATGGAAAAAAGAGAACAAGGTTTAGCGTGCCAAGTCCGAATGTAACACGTAAAACGTTCTGTCATGTTACATGTTTATCTTAAGATTACAACGAAACCGGAACAAGGTTTAAGAAAGGTAAAGGACATAAAAATATAAGTATCCTTGTAGATATTTTAATTATGTATTATTATGTATATATTGATTTTGTACGTTTTTATACAAAATAAACGCAATCCTTTTTTTTTTGTACGAGTGAATCGTGTTCGGTTCTTTACCTCGTGGCAATTTTTGTCAAACCTAGATGCGAATGCTGTTAATCGGACGTTGCAGTTTGCAAGTTTGTTACGTACTTGGCTATAATTACGAAGTTTCAGTAACTAGATTCAGTTTAAATTAATTTGTACATTCGTAATTCTGTTGCAACTTTAATTAAATCGAGCAAGTGTAATTTCCATTCGTCGTTGTTAGCAAAGTTAACAGTATCTACTTCTATGTATTCGAAGTTATAATTAATTGGACTTTCCAACAACAATATGAACTGCAAATTTTCGAAAAAAGCACTTTGTTACGGTATTTCTGAAAATAACTGTAACGTAAAATAATATTGAAACAATTAACATTGGCAATTAAAAGTAATGAGAAAACATATTAACGTCGTTACAATCGTCACAGGCCAATAACCTGACACATCCATATTTCATTATAAAGTTACGAAGAAGACATATTTAAGCATGAAAATAATTGAATTGCATTTTTAAATACATGCAATTATTCTATGATAACTATATTTATGTAAGAGTATACGCAAGAAATCGTGTACATACAAACGTATTTCATTATTTTAAGTTTGGTACGAATGGCGGCGGTTCATGTTTCGTTTGCTGCGTTTTAATCAAGTGATTGATATTTTAACAATAAATCGAATATAAAACATATTTTAACACCAACTAAAAACGTAAGCATAAAGAATATGATTTTTTATATTCTTATATTAATATTTTTTAGCTATTTGGAGCTCAGTATTTGTAATAAGCTGTTTTGTTACGAGTATAGGTTATCTTGTTTTCACGTCGCTTCCTTTCAAGATGTTAAAAGCGTGATTTACGAATACTATTTTGGAAACGTTATTTTGATGAGAACGTAAACATGTCCAGCAGTAGTTCTGAGAGTAGCGATGACAGCCGTCATGACAAATCACGGAAAAGACGTAAACACAGACGCGACGAGAGTCCTAACCAAGACAGGCGAACGAGCAGAAAGGAATCAATCGGCAAGAATAAAAATTACAGAGATAATAGAGAAGGTAGGGACGTTCATAAATTTACCAGAGACGTAAGAAGAGAAAATAATGATGTGCATCGTGATAGATCGCAACGCGAACGGGATAGAGAATATAGGGATAATCGCTATGAGCATCCAAGGAGAGAAGAAGAAAAGCAACATGATAGAAGGAGGTATGAGAGATCTCCTATGAGAAGAGAAGAACCTCGTCCAAGACACAGAGATTATGAAGAAAAAAATAGAAAGTACAGAGATACTATTGAGTATACTAAGAAACACGACAATATGAACAGAGGAAGGAGAAATAATTTTGAAGATGGAAAAATGGAAAGGGATGCTCCTTCGCCAGAATGGGGTAAACCTGCTGTAAAAACAGAAGCTAAACCAAAGCCTCAAGAGAAAGAGAAACCAAATTTTGAATTGTCTGGGAAACTGACAGAGGAAACAAACACTGTAAATGGTGTAGTTATTAAATACTCTGAACCTGCAGATGCACGTAAACCCAAGCGCAGATGGAGGTTATATCCATTCAAAGGAGAGAAAGCATTACCTACTTTGTATGTGCATAGACAATCGGCATATTTAATGGGCAGAGATCGTAAAATTGCAGATATTCCTTTAGATCATCCTTCGTGTTCTAAGCAACACGCAGTTTTACAATATCGTTTAGTATCTTTCCAAAGAGAAGGAGGTGGTGAAGGTCGAAGAATTCGTCCTTATCTCATAGATTTAGAATCAGCAAATGGTACATTTGTAAATAATATAAAATTAGAACCAAGGAGATACCATGAATTATTAGAAAGGGATGTGGTACGTTTTGGATTCAGTTCCAGAGAATATGTTGTATTACACGAACACAGCAAAGATGATTCCTTAGATGATGATGTTCCCTTAACTACTACAACTACAACAACTACTGTCACTGCTACAACATAGGTAACTCTACATTTTATAACTTCTAATATCTCTAAAATGAGCTACCTTTATAAAAATTTAAGTCAGTTGTTATATATTTTATTCCAGGGCTTCACTTGTAAAATATTTAAAAACAAAACTTATAATATTTTAAATACATTAACAGTATATTAACGTTACCTTTTAGAGCAAGTTGTAAGATTAGTTTGTGATTTTCTTTAAGTTATATTATACAGAAAATGTACAATTCTTAAATAGAGCATTTATGACAGTACAATATTTGTTTTAATGAAACTTTTAATTCTTGACAGAATAAACTATCATTACACAAGTTTTACATTTTGTGTAATTAGAAACGAATATTGATTGTAATAAATCACTTTTGAAATACATTACAAGTTATTGATTTATGTTTGAAACTTTATTTACCCAAACTTAGACAATAAATTTCATATTTTGTATGCACTTTTATAGCAACATTTGTAATAATATATTTTTTTAATACAATATTAAAAGTATTTACAAGAATTGACTTATTCTTATCTAAAAATGACAGTTTGTAAGGAACTAACAGTATATAGACACTATATAAGGACATTTTTAAATAGGAAGACTATGAAATATTTCACGTTTGTCGGACTATTTTCGTAGTTTATTTGTTTTTATTTATGAATTTTTTTGGAACGCCTATTTTTCATAAAACCTTTATCCTTTTATTACGCTAAATTACCAAAATATTATTTTCGAAAAGTACGTATCCCGGTTTCATTCTTATCCCTACTATACTATATTTTCTTCATTAATTCTCTGGGTTCTCGATACTTACAATATTATTTTAATAATTTTATGGAAAAAATGAATGAAATTAAAAAAATATCAAATTTATATTCGTTAAATATTTAT